ATAATAATTAAATATTTTGTTAGAACTCAATGATTATCTTAATTATATTTTAGATTTTCTATGTTTAAAATGAATGTTTATTATGTATTTGATTATGTTTATCTGCAGATAATTTAAAAATGGAGCTTTAATATATTGTACTTACACAAAATTAYTTGTACTCTTGAATTTTAAATAGTATGCATCAATAAACACTACTTCATGCATAAAAGATAGTTTTTAAGAGTTTTTGTCAAATGATTTATAATATAGTATAGATAAATTTTTAAGGTGTCCAATTTTTTCATTCAGTTATTTATAGTTCGGTCACTAAATTTTACATACATGTTTCAATGTTGTGACTTATTACTTTCCGATAATCACCATGATACCATTGTTATAGAAAKTTGATTGTTATGGAGTTTTAGAGTTATTTTTTTCAAATTCTAAGAAATTGAATCAAATTTACTTTATTCTAAATTTATGTAACAAATTTGTATTATATATACAACCTTAAGCAACCCTCTCGGGTCCTCCCCACCATAGCAACACCGTCTACCCCAGCCTCCTAACCCTGAACCCTTAATATCATGCACATGGTTCACCATCTCTTTATCCGTTGACTTTATCTCATTATACTTTTTTTTTTTTTTGTTAATCATGGACACAAACTAGTTGATAACTAACTTGCTGAAATGTTTACAAAATCTTGAAAAAAGTCTTGAAAGATGTGAAACAACTGATTTAGTTTTAAGCGTAACATTTTTCCTTTGTCATCATGTGCATCGAGTCCATAGGAAAATGGTACTAGGGACATCGTGATGAGATGAGTGGTAGATAGTTACACAAGAAGGATTTAGTTTATCGTTGATGTCTTCCGCATTTGGAGATAACTTCAGTCATTGGGTTATAGTAACACCCGTCCTTAACTTAGTATTTATGTAAGGCTTTGTCTATCTTATAATGGTGATGATATTAGATTTGTTATTCGAGTAATTCAAGTATCGATTATTAGAAAAGAAATTTACCCCTTTATTTGTTACTAATGAAAATTTTAAATTAGTCGTTCTTCCCAAATTTAAGGGTGTTGCAAAAAAACAATTGTGAAACAAGTATATGTAACCAATAAATCAAAATACCATATTTAGATGAGAAAAAATCATCTGAAACAAAACCTTAAGATAAATTTTTTCACGAATCTCATAAATTTTGGAATTCTCAAACGATCAAGCGTCTAATAATCAAATTGAAATTCTATTAATTAACATATTACACTATATCTTTTTCCTTTCCATATTGTTTGTATTAATTAACATATAATATTATTAATGATTTATTTTAAATGTTTTATGAAATATTAAATTTAACTAATTGCTTTTACATATTTCAACTAGTTTATCAGCTATTTTTAATTTATCAAAAATAATTATTTGTCACCTACTTTCACTACTAGAATAATGATTATATATTTCCGGCGGATTTTTTAATTAATTATATTAGACTTGTATTTTAACTTGATCAAAATCATTTACCAGTGGATTTCCGGCGGAAAAATAATTAATCTTTTAAAACTAAAATCCGCCGGAAATCCACCGGAAATTTATTTGAAAAATAAATTCGGTTTTAACATTTTCCGACGGATTCCGGGCGGAAAAATAATTAATCTTTTAAAATTAACATCCACCGGAAATTTATTTGAAAAATAAAATCTGTTTTAACATTTTCCAGCAGAAAAATAATTAATCTTTTAAAATTAATATCCGCCGAAAATCGGTCAAAAATTTATTTAAAAAATAAAACCGGTTTTAACATTTTTCAACGGATTAAAATGACGTGACAAACCATTAATCTGTGGGTAAATTTTCAACCAAAAAAGCAATATTTTCTTTGTGGTAATTATTCAAACACTTTTAACGATACTGAATTATCAATTTTAACGTATCTAAGATTCTTCCACTAAATGCTAAAAAGGCCTACCGCTGCTGTGTGAAGGTGAACTTACAAGAAGCCTCCAATTCCTATCCGTGAATTAATAGTATTAAAAGTGAAACTTTTTAAATGATTTTGTATTCTGGATCTCTCTTAATTATTAAGAGCCTTAATTTCATTATACATAATTACCAAATAATTATATTTTATTTCATTTTATATTATAAAAGCCTCTTAATTATTATGACCACTTAATCATTTTTGTACCAAATCATTTACTAATTGCCAAACAATCCCTAATATATGAATTGTTAAGTTTGAATTTTATATTTATAAATATATTAATTATGTATGCCTGCAATGCATTTGGACATAATATCTTATAGTAATCGAGAAAACTTTTGTTAAAAAAGTCCAATATTCATTTTAAAAACAAAATAAAATTCAAGGTAATATGTAATCAGACATGGCTATACATATATAATAAAAAATGTCATGTCAGCATTATCGTACATGTAGACAGTCAGTGTAATTTGATTATTCGGTTTTCTACTTGCACGGTTGGACTGACCAATCAAATAAAAATAATTTGGTTTTCAATCTTTTTTATTACTTGGTCTGAACTGTCATGAATAGCACATTTTATTAAATATTTATATATTTTATTATTTCGATTAAATCAGAAATAAATGAACATATTACATATTAATACAAAATTCGAGTGATTCATAATGTACCAGGAGTCTCATGTCAGCACTATCGTTCAACTGAAACTGGGTTTGATTATCTCTACCAGGAGTCTCATGTGAAACTTGGCTCGTAGTTGATACCTCGTTGCATGATCACATGATTATCACACCCAAATCAAGGAATCGGTCTAACCTTAGCCAAAACAATCGATTTATCACACATAAATCGTGATAAACATGTGATAATCGCTAAAATGATATATAGTATTGAGTTCGACTGCACGCTGATCAATTCGATTAGGTGTGATCATCACACGATTATCACACCCAAACCGAATTGATCACATCGATTAGGTGTGTTTATCGTATTTTTGTGAAAATCGGTTCCTAGTTGATTCATTGTTGCATTATCACATGATTAGAGTGCATACACTAACCCTAGCCAAACCAATTGATGTTAGTGATGAACGTACC